CTCCAGTCTCAACAGATTCAGATTCAACAAAAATTTCTTAAATACCAGTTAACATTTATTGAGAAATACTCTGTTGCAGATGCTGATCTAAGAAACTCTCACCCATATATTCACTTACTCTTCACAACTCTGTGAGGTGTGTATTGGAATTATTTCCATTTTACAGATAAGAAAAGGGAGGCACACAGATTTTAAATACTTTTCTCAAGGTCACATAGTTGATCATGAGCAGTGTGACTGTGAAGTCCACAATATTAACCTCTACTTTAGCTGCTTACTATGAACTGAGTACTGTGCCTAACCTTTCACAAACTGTGTTTTATTTAATCCTCAAAATACCTGCAATACATGTTGTTTTATGGAAAATAAACTGATATGTAACAAAACCCTAGATTAAACAAAATATAAATTACAAACACAAAGCTAAAACCCAGAAAAACTAACTCTAAATTCAGTGCTCCTATGACATCATGGAAGTGAGGGATGTTACCCACATGGATTCAGAAGATAAAGGAAGGAACAGTCTAGTGTTGTTGAACCGCCATCATGTTCCAAGTGCTTCATATGTCTTATAATATATATTCCTCTCAACAACTCTGTGAGGTATATTAATCCCATTTGATAGATTATGAAATTAAGGTTCAAAGAGGTTAAATAAATTCTCCAAGATTAAATGACTAAACTAGGATACAAACAGAGATTAGCCTGGTCGAAAGCCAAAAGTTTTCTTTTGAGCGGGAATGTGGCATGAGGGAAGAAAATGTGGACTAACAAGGAAGGAGAAGGCAAGGGAGGTCATGAGGTTTTGGGGGCGCTCTCTCCCTCAGGTAACTTTCCTAGTAAACTTCTATTCCCTAAGTTTGCCAAACATACACTTTCCCAAAGACTCTGTTTGCCCTAGTCTTTTTTTTCCTGCTGTATCTCTGTGGGTCCCTTGGGCTGCAGCTTCAGAGCCATCCCAAAGCATCAGAAAGGAGGAAAAAATAGGGACTATAGAAGGGAGGGGCAAGATAAAAGAACCTCCTGCTTGGCAGCATTCTCTGATCATGGCAGGAAGGGGAGGTGGAGTCTCTACGGCACCTTTCTTTGTCCTGCTGCTTCAATTTTCTTTTATATACATTCCCTAAGTCTTTTTTTCTAACCATCCTGGTCACCTAGAAGGATCCTGAGTCAAAGAAGTCAGAATAGAGTGAGTGGATTCTGTTACTGGCTACACGCCTCATAAAGTGCTCAGTTCTCTCATGTTTATTTTCTGTCTAATACATTCATATTCTTATTCCTCTCTACACCTCTACACCTAATAAAACCCAAACCACTATCAACATTTTCCTTTTTTTCTTTTTATCTTAACCTGAGGATATTTTGTCATTGCTTTTTTAGAGAGACAGGAAGGAAGAGAGAGAAACATCAATATAAAAGAGAAACATCGACTGGCTGCCCAAGACAGGGGATTGTATGCGCTGGGACTGGAGATCAGACCCACAACCTAGGTATGAGCCTTGTTTGGGGATGAAACCTGCAACCCTTTGGTTACAGGATGATGCTCCAACTAATTGAGCCACATCGGCCAGGGCTCGACATTTTTCATAAATGATCTATTTTATTGTTATGCATGTCAATATTGCTTTCTTCATCTTTTTACTTGTAGCTGGTCTCTTCATTTATTCATAGTCTGTGTGTCCTCCCTACACCTTTTATTATCTCCTATATTTAGTCTGTCCTTTCTATATTATAGTTATCTTTACCTAATGTTCTCACATTGGATCTACTGTCTATATAGCAAATTTAGTCTATCAAATATCACTCATCTTATCCACAGAAAATCCAGTCTCTCTGCATGTAATCTAATTTCCTCATGTTTCATTTGGTCCTTGTGGATCTAGTTACTGTTCTACATTTGTTGCCTGTTTTTCTTACACATTATTCCAACTCTGCCAAGTATTCTGGTAATGCATTAAAATTCTCTACTCCTGATCATTTCCACACAACTCCTTTTTACCTTCTGCCTTCTTTATATTCCATTCCTATAATATATTAATCTATTCTTCCCATTACACGCTTTTCTCCATTTTCCATCTCTCCACGCATCTATACAACCATTATAATACCTTTAATAATCAGTTACTAAAGCAGACACTATAATAGGAACTATTGTCAAAAGGAGAGACAAAAATACTGGTAATTATATTTCTTAAAATATAGAATGGGAACAGTAATGAGAGAAACTCAACAACAGTGAAGAGGAAAAGAGAAAAAGATGTTAATGTCTCTGTGAGGAGATGCCACGTGAGCCAAGACTTGAAGGCCCACTAGGAGTTAGCCTTGCAGTGTGAGTAAAGCTACAGAAGTAACACACATGCTGTCTGGCAAGAGCTACAGGGTATAAAGGACAATGAAGACTGTGGCAACAGTTAAGGTTTTGGTGATAGCAGTGACAGGTCATAAAAGTACTTATACATATTGTTAAATAACTTGAACATTATAATGTAAATGATGGGTTAAAATGAAAGGGAATTAAGTAGGGGATTAAAATAGTCAGATTTGATCTTTAGAGGAGAGACTATAGGTAGTAAGACCAGTTAGCAATCCACATGTGAGAGCCTAATCTTTTGTTCAAGTGTGCAGAGTATCAAATGTGAAGGTAGAACAGATCAAAGCATAGGCAGAAAGCTCTGAGGCTAAGAGGATCCAGTGCATGATGAATGGAATATAAGGCAGGTATTGAGGAGAAGGAACAAAGGCTAAGGTTATCAATGATGATTGTACTTTCAAAATTCCCATTTTTGAAGCTAATATATAATGTAGGGATAGATATAATAGGTTGACCTTTCAGGAATGAGAAGATGAAAGTGTATCCTTACCACTAGATTATGAGCTTCCTAAAGACTATGCATATGTCTTATTTACATTTTATGTACTGTAACTCTTAACCTGTGGTCTGGAATATAGTTGATCCATAAACTTTGAAATAAATTGTGGGTGTGGATGGAAAGGATGGGAGTGATGGTAAATATAAGCCGGGGATATGGGTATTTTGTGGTTGCCTTGAAGTACTCTAGTATTTAGAGATATACCAAGTGCTCAAATACTGAGTAATACTCAAGTGTTAATCACAAAGCATAAAGAAGAGAAAAATTCAGGTATAAAGCATTAGGAGGTTTAATGTTTTATTTTCCATATATAAATGAGATATACAGTATTTGTGTTTCTTTATCTGTCTTATTTCACTTAGTAGAATGACCTTGAGGTTCATCTATGTCATTACAAATGACAGGATTTCCTTTATTTATATGAGTGAATAATACTGTGATATATATACAGTATGTAATACTGTATATATAATAATACTGTATATATAATATATAGATTAGTTATGGGATGAATAACTTCTGGGGTACACATTTCACAATATATACTTGTATAAAATCATCACATTGTACAACTTAAATTTATACAATGTTATATGCCAATTATATATCAATACAGCTGGAGAAAATAATTTCCAGGTTGAAGTCTGATGTGTGAGTACTTTTGGCCCCTGCTAACCTCATAGAGGTTAGGCCTGCAAACAGTCCTAAGACTAAAAATGTAAAGAATCTCCTGATGGGAAATTACACCCAGATGTTCAGCTGTTCTGCCCTCCATTCTCCTTTCTAATCTCTGAAGCTACAACCATACAGAGGCAATAGGGATACACTAACCTTTTTCTCATATCAACTCCCATGTGGAAATATCGACATTAGATTTAGAGGCTTGCTGTTTGAAAAGGGCAAATTTTATTTTTGATACCAGTGTAAACAAAGAGAGCACTCTACTACATGCATGCTTTTATACTAGCCTTGATACTGTCAAAATAATTAACCAAGGATACCATTAGACTAGGTAACTTTAATGCCTTTGTAGCCTGCATAAGTAAGCAAAATAAAAGTTAACCCAGAGTCAATTGTAAAGGCACTTATATCTGAGAAAACAAATAACAATTAATCTCAAACAGCCAACTGGGTCTTCCCATACAAGGCTATCACTTAAGCTATGACCAATCAAATAATGTCCTTGCTTTACTTCCAGATCTGCTCTATAGAAGACTTGCCCCTAGCTTCTGTTAGTGGAGGGCACCTAATGACTTTCAGTTTGGCACTGCCTGATTTGAACTGATGTTTGTTCAAATAAATTCTTGAAAATGTTAATGTGCCTCTGTTTAACTGAGCTACAGGGTATAAAATTTGAGAATCATTGGGAATCTCAGTTCTTCTGCCATCCAGAATCTACTTCTTAACATGACTTCCAGGTGGGTCCCAGATACTCCTTTTAAGTACCAGGATATGTAAGACTGCACCCTACAGGTGCTGACCTCTGGGGGTTTTACCTTGTTCCCTTGTAGGAGATGACCTGCTTCCCTAGCTAAGCCCCAAAGATTCTCTTTCTTGGATGTAAATCATTATGTATCTTACAGTTCCTCCTTCACTTGCCTGAGTATTTTGGAAGCTCTGAGGTCCTGAGTTCTTGGTTTCACCTCTTACTATCTGTGTGACCTGGAGTAAGTCACTTAATTATGCCTTAGTTTCCTCGGGTGTTAAGTGGGTTACAACTCAAGGGTCTTTGGAGATTAAGTGAATTAATATCTGCAAAATTTTTAGAGTGATGACTGTACTAATAATACATAGCAAATACCTAATTGTGTTATATTATTGTTATTCCTTCAATATGTAACTTATTTCTTCAAAACAGAGCTGTAATCCAGCTCCCAAACAAACTTTCATATTAGGGCATCCCAGGTTCTCTCACTATTTTTATTTTTTATCTGTGTTCTCCAGGGACCAACTAGTGTCATCTTTACCTGGTGGTTATCAATATATGCTTCTCCAAAGGCCAGAACAGATTCCTCAGCTCAGTGATAAATTATGTGTGACACATACATTGCATTTTAACAATAAAAACCCTGATGCCTGCTGAAGACACCCTATTCTGCCTCCTGAAGAACAGTGTGCAAGAACAACCCCATGGAACAGAGGAACCAGAGTGGCAGAGTCACTGAGTTTGTGTTATTAGGCTTTCCAGCTCCTGAGCCACTGCGGGCGCTGTTGTTTGCCCTTTCTCTGTTGGCCTATGTGTTGGTGCTAACTGAGAATATACTCATCATTATGGCAATTAGGAGCCACCCTGCCCTCCACAAACCCATGTACTTCTTTCTGGCTAATATGTCCTTCCTGGAAATCTGGTATGTTACTGTCACCATTCCCAAGATGCTAGCTGGCTTTGTTGGATCCAAACAGGGCCATGGACAACGAATCTCCTTTGAAGGCTGCATGACACAGCTCTACTTTTTCCTGGGTCTGGGCTGCACTGAGTGTGTCCTTCTTGCTGTTATGGCCTATGACCGCTATGTGGCCATCTGCCACCCTCTCCACTACCCTGTCATTGTCAGTGGCCAACTGTGTATACAGCTGGCAGCTGGCTCCTGGGCTGGAGGTTTTGGCATCTCCATGGTTAAAGTCTTTCTCATTTCTCGCCTCTCTTACTGTGGCCCCAACATCATTAACCACTTTTTCTGTGATGTCTCCCCATTGCTCAACCTTTCGTGCACTGACATGTCCACAGCAGAGCTTACAGACTTTGTCCTGGCCATCTTCATCCTGCTGGGACCACTCTCTGTCACTGGGGCCTCCTACATTGCCATCACTGGTGCCGTGATGCGCATTCCCTCAGCTGCTGGGCGCCATAAAGCCTTTTCTACTTGTGCCTCTCACCTGACTGTGGTGGTCATCTTCTATGCTGCCAGTATTTTCATCTATGCCCGTCCAAAAGCACTTTCAGCTTTTAACACCAACAAGCTTGTCTCAGTACTCTATGCTGTCATTGTACCATTGCTCAACCCCATAATTTACTGCTTACGCAACCAAGAAGTCAAGAGAGCCCTACGCCATACTCTTCACTTTTATCAGGGCCAGGATACTAAGTCTGGGAAAGCTAACAGAGATGGGTAGAAGGGAGGTGTTTAAGTCTTAGAAAATGTTCTTAAGCTTAGAATCTATGTCTTCTATGAAGTCCAGAGGAGCTTTGAGGGCCTAAATTAGGGAGTAGAATTTTCAAGGCAATACCAAGGAACTAGTCCAAGAGGAGAAAGAGGGACTGAAAGCTAGCAGCTAGCAGCTGGATTTCTATTGGATTTACACAGAGCAGTTTTATGCATCATGCATCCTGGTTGGGTGGAAAAGGTTGACTGAGCAGAAGACATGACTAAACTTTAATATTTAAACAAACAAACAAATGCAGAACTGGTATCTCTCTACATGACTTTTCCTGGGTTTGCTCTTGGCATTAGTTCTGAAGCAGGTATAGAAAAAAAGAAGCAGAAGGAGGAAGCCATTTGGGGAAGTGCAGACTTCATTATGGAAAAGCATCAGGAGACTCTGGATGAGATCTCTCCTGCCACCAGCTGCAGCCCATGAAGTAACAGAGACCAGGAGGTGATCATTCTGGTGTGAATTACAAGGCAAGGAGAGAGGAAACTAAGAATGTTTGTGTTGGCAACAAAGCCCCTGGGCTGCAGGGATTTTAGCTTCATTTCCTGATTTACTGTGGTCAGTGTACACACTGAACTAGTGGCTGAGTGCAGATGTTTATTTAATTTTGTGTCTCTAATTAAATAGCAAACTCCATGGAGGCAAGGATCACATTTTCTTATCCATCATTTTATTACCATGACCCAGGACAGTGTTCTACCCCATGGTGGCTATGAAGAAACACAAAAAAATTAATACAATTCAGAGCCATGTAGGCAAGGCACGTGTGTCACACCTACAGATAGGATTGGAAGGTGCAGAAACTAAACCCTTCATGCTTCACTGGAGTATGGGAATGTACAAATTGGCTTGGCCTTGCTGGAAGGAAATTTGGCAGTTTGTATCATGAACACTAAAAATTAGAAAATATCATGACTCAGAAAGATTTATATAGATAGACATATAATGTATAAGGTGTAAATTATGTAAGCAACTCTTTATTTGTAGAAGTTTATCATATTTCTGTGTTTTTGTTGCTATAAATGAAATGCACTGACATGTCCTCTTGATACCTGGTCATCATGACCACAGGTTAATGTGTGCGACTGGTGGCTTTCTCCTATATAACTGGTTTCATGACCACTGTGATCAAAGTCTATTTCATTGCACATGTCACCTTCTGTGGTTCTAGTATCATGAACCACTCATACTGAGACATCTCATAAATCCTCAAAACCGGCCTGCAAACATATGTCCTCAGCTGAGCTAGTGGGCTTTGCTTTTGGCTGTTGTCAGTCTTGTCTTCCCTCTCACCATCACCATCTTCTCCTGTCTACATTGTCTCCACCATTCTGCATATATTCTCTACCCAGGGAAGGGAGAAAGCCTTCTTCACCTGTGAACCCCTCCTCACTGTAGTCATACTTTATTACACAGCCATGGTTGTCAGGTCTGTTCATTCCAGAGCGATTGCATCATTTAATTCCAACAACCTAAGTTCAGCTGTATATGCAGTTCTCACTCACATGCTAAATCCCTTCTTCTACCACCTTAGGAACCAGGAATCAAAAATGCTATAAAAAAAACCGTGGGGGTTGGCCCGTGCCTTCTGCTGAGACCTGCTGCCTTCAGGAGGAAACAGTATCCCAGCAAGGATGACATTCCCATTACATTTATTACAGTTCTGCATATTAGCTTGCTCTACAGGTCTGGATTTTTAAAGTCACAGCATAGGAAGGGAGAAAAAAATTAAAAGGTGAAACATGAAAATATGCAGTGCTTTAACCTCAAATTCATTTCTCATTAGAGGGATGGGGTGGAAAACTGTTTTTCAATAGTTTTACAAGACATGAAAGAATCAGTATTACTGCAAATTTTGCCATAATACTTGATATGTGTCCTTTGAGACACTCTCTTTTGGACTCTTAAATTCTTGTAGCCTTCCATGATATATTGTGACTATTACCAGCAAACTAATGGAACATTATTACCTCAGTAAATGTCTGAGCTGAAATCCTCAACACATCAATATGTGCTACATACAAACTAGGTAAAAACCAAATCCAAAATTCTCTAAGACAAAAGTGAATGCTAGATATCATTGGGGGACCTGCAGCCCAGATAAAGAAATGTAGTGTACCAGGGAAAATTCTACAAAATTGACCAAACTGAGACTAAAATGTGAAATAAATAATCAAAAAGGGCTACCTTAACTCTATATCCTGCTCATTTTGAGATGGAGTCTCCTGCTTTTTGTCTCCCATTTTTTATCTATGATACCTTCAACATTATTTAACATTCCTAGGCTAATCTTTCTTATACATTGCTCTTATAATGTTACTCTACCATTTAAGAATTCTCAATTTGAAGAGAATTTTTAAGTTATTATTTTGGAATTATTCTAGCATTCAAGAATCCCATCTACACCATTTCAACTTGCCTTTTTACTGATCCTCAGTATGAAACATCCATTCTGCCATTGGTCATCTTAACGTACTCAATAGTTACATTATACTAATTCTTATCTTGATGAATTCACTCAGTCACTCATTTATTTAACATTTTTGTGCCCTTACTCCTTGTCAAGCACTTTAATAGCCTGTGAGAATATAATACTCAAGAACAAAAACAGATACAGATTCTTTCTTCAAATAGCTCTCATGAATAAGGAAAATAAAGGCACAATTACCTTTAGAGTTATAAGTGTAATGATGCAAGTACAGGGTACTCTGGAAGCAAATGGTAAGTAGGCCTAGGGTAAGAAGAGAACATGTTTCAACAGAAGAAGCATCTAGGCTAACATGAGGGAATTTGACAGATGTTAAATTGTGGATAGTAGTGAAGGTCAGGGTTATAGAGATAAGAAAAGCCAAGAATCAAGAGAGAGATAATGGCACACTCACAAACCTAAAAGACAGCACAAAGTGACAGAAGTAAGAGGTCACATGAGGAAGTAGATTCATGTTTACCAATCCAAATCTAACCAATCTGTAAATTCTCTCTTATTATATAGGTTTATGGATACATAATAAATTCCACAGAAGCATTTTCAGTTTCTGCAAGTACTAGATCTTCAGTTTGTAGCATTTCTATCAGGTGAATGGCAGTCACTGATAGAGTGAAGCAAGAACAAGGTGAATTCACTTTGAGTATTGAGCCTTGACTACAGCCATTTTTTTCTGAATAACCAACATCAATATGTGTTTGACTTCCTCCTAAACTGTGAGTTCTTTTAGATGAGAAACTAACCTTATTCCTCTTGAATCTACAATATCGGCCATAGTCCCTTATACTGTAGGTACCTGTTACAAGTTAATTGCTACTTCTCACTCCTCAGTTACCTATTCTCTGTACTCTTGTACCCCATATTTCAGGGGGTGAGAGCAGTTGATCTTATGGACAGTAACACTCTGGCTGTGTTGGATTCTGGCTTCCAATTTGGTTGGGTCAATGAGGGGCATCAGCAGGAAACTGAAGGATGCCAAAAAAGAGATGACAAGGAATGATTCCCTGCTTCCCTGGGTTCTGTGACTCTGGCAATGACTACAACTCCTGCAACAGTAGGAGTTCCCCTTCCAAGGCTGCCACTGTCACTGGGTGTCTGCACTGCAAGTCCTTCTGTGGCTCAGCATCCTTGCTGGTTGTCTTCACCTCACCCAACCTTGGTGGATAGTTGTGACATTTGACTCTATTCCAAAGTTTCAGCAGAAATTGCTTTCTGTTTCTCACTGGGATTCTGACTGTATATGATTTTTAATTAGTATTAGTCAAATTGAAATAAATTTCAGTGGAAGTGCTTGCAATAAATATGCCACTTTAAAAATTGACATGGGTTTAGATTTTGAGATAAGGAACATAACCTAAGTAAACCTCATTTTCTACTTAAGTATGATATATGACAGAACTTGAATTAAAATACAAGACCATTTGTTCCACATTTAATTTTCAAGCATTTGTCCATAAATAACTCCTACTTATCTTCCACCCACATACCACTGCCAATTTGAATAGATGATGAGGTGTCTGAGCTAGCACATTCAGCAAATTTAAACTCAGGTGTTGAATATTTACATCCCACCTAGCTTTTCTGCAATTTATTATAAGACTCTGTATGCCACTAAGAAGCACTTAGAACCAGTATAATTTTACTGCATAGACCTCTTCCTTTACTTTTTCCCTTTTAAGTTGCACTTCTTTTATCAGTGTAAAGCAGACTATATCTTAAGGTCTATAGGAGAATTTCCCCAATTTATTTTCCCTGGTAGTTCCAATTCACTCATTCAGTTTACTGTCTTCTAATAAATAACATAATCAGACTTTTAAAACAGCTTCACTGGCAACTAGTTAAGCGGGAAAATAATGGGAGAGTAGATGGTCTTGGGAGACAAATATTTAGCTTAAGAACATGGTATTACCATCTGTTAATTTGTGTTTTTCAGAGGTTACTAGAACTTCAATTTTTGAGCTTCGGTTTCCATACCTATGAAATATCTATTTTCAAAAGTTATTATGAAGATCAAATGAAAATGAATATATGTGAACAAATCTGGCACAGTGTTTGACACATACTATTCTAAATTATTCAACAAAATACAAGATAAACAGAATTGATTGTAAGATCTTTAAAAGTCAGCTGGAGTTTCAAGTCTTCCATGACACTTCCTATGTTTTCCAGTTTTTAGCTTGTGCTGATTTACCCCACACCTATCAGGGAGAAATGATCTCCAGTTGTGCCTACCTCCTGTTCAGTGTGACAATGTCTTGGTTTTAATACTCTTTCAGACTTTGCCTTATATTGGTAATTATTCAAATACACATAGCATTTCATACTAGACTTTAAGTTTCTCATATCATAGGTATCTCTTTATAACAGTTACTAAAAACTATTCCAACTTACTATGTATTTAATGGCCAATAGATATTTGATGAATACATTCCTGTCTGATGTCATATTTTCAATTGAGAGGCACAGCACCCGTACT